ATTAAGTCCACGGGCTATGCCTTCTATAATTTGAAACGTGCTTCCCAATCCAAGCATACACGCTTAATAGGATCTACATGTTTGAAATCAAGATATAATCATATAAAGAATTACCAAGATTGTACCTTATTTATTCACACGACAAAACTGAGGTGATTTTTGTTGAAAGAAAATTTCATACCGAAAATGAAGTGATCAAGGCTTCTATTTGGAAGGAGTTCATAGATAAGTAGTCGCTCTTTTTCTTCCAAGCAAAAACCAAGAAGCCGAACTAAATTTCGGTGTTGAAGCTTAGCCATTAATAGCACTTCATTCTTAAATTCAGTATCTCCCTGCCCAGAAACCCCTGACAACCTTTTGGCGGCAATATTTTGTCCATTGGAGAGCCTACCCTGAAGTTGATCAAGAACCAAGATTTATTGGGATTGGACTTAGAATTGATATTTATCTTGACATGACAGTGTTATCCTAACCTTATAAACAGGTCCAAATCCACCTTGACCAAGCTTATTTGCATCAGAGAAGGAATTTGTAGCGACTTTGATGGTGTCAAAGCTGAACTGTATTGATGCAACAGGCTCAATTTCAGCTTCAGCTTCAAGTTCATCTGGTAGAGAGGAATTTAAGCCATTGAGTTCAACAATTATCTTCTTTTATCCGTCATTTTTCTTGAGAGAGAGAGTCATTAGTCAGCTCATAAAATTTTTTGTCCCTGGATTTTTCATGGCCACCATATTGATTGGCCCCACTTGATTAATTAAAAAATCACAAAAAAAAAAAATGTCATGGCATACTCTCACCATTAGATCGATATGTGCACTTACTTTGAAAGCTGTTCTCAGCTTCCTTCCTCTTGCAACATAAATCCCAATAAAGCTAAGCAGTACCACAAAGCCAACTACAGGCCCTGTTATCTCAATGAAAAGTCTTGATTTATTGTGTTTTCCTGAGAAAGAAAACCCTGGTTATTGACCGGACAAAAAATAAATAAATAAAAGCTTATAATGAAGCATGTTGGATGTTAGGACTTTGCAGCCCAATTATTCTGCAGGACAAATGCTTCACTACTACATTTTTTAAACTCAGAGACCTCCCACGCGCGCCATTTCTTAATAGGGGAATGACAATGTAGGACCAATGCTTCAACTTAATTTTAGTCTGAGACAATTTTTTCTTTAAAAAAAAAATTTCAGGTAAGAACCTTGGATCCTTGGTATTCTTAAAAGATTACATAATTAATATTTCGAGATAATGAAATTTTCAATCTTTAAGTTTGCCTCAGTTGTCAATTTAGTCTCTGAAATTTAATTTTTTATCAATTAATTCACTAAAAATTTCATATTGTTATTGATCTCATTAGTCAAGCAATTTTTCTGCAATGTGGAGAAAATAAAAGTTTATTTATCCCCCTTTTTTAGGTCCAATGAGTGGTATGTATGGTTTGGACTAACTTATCTTTAACCAAGTGAACTAGAGTATTAAGCATGGAGTATGGAGGAGATAAGAAGTTATCATACCATATAAGTGTATTTACAAATTTAATATATATAACTTTTAAAATATGTTTTGTTCCCACTTAGCAATTTGCATATTTGATTACTTTACTTGCTTTATTTCATCTTAGAATTAGTTATTAGGACTATCGTGTCTCATTCCTCGTAGTTATTGTTTTTGGGAAAGGGTCCAGTTGAATAAGTATCGAGAGAGTTATTGGGTGTATATTGACACCTTTGACATATTTGGCCTCTCTCTCTTTTTTTTTTGTTGAAGTAGTGTACAAAATGGTAACTTAGGACATTTTGATTATTATGAGCATTTAAAATTTATGATTTAATTTATTTTATTCTACATTTATTAGTCATGAGACTTCTGTCTATCCCTTATAGTCTTAAAGGATTATTATTTGATCATTTGAAAGATTCAATATGATTTATGTTTTAAATTATTTATTTTAAAGTTTGTTGGGAACCATGATCTACTATTTTTAAACGTTTATATCTTGTTTAAAAGACTTGTTAATGAAAACCATTTTAGTACTTTCTAATTAATTAGATTATGTTCTTAAATATCATGGTAGATTTTTTTTTTTGGGATTTATGAAACTCTTTTACTACCATCTTTTATTATCATGGTAGTTGATATTTATGAGATGTTTTAATTATAGAAAAGTTCTATTTTACCATGATCTATTTTTTAAATTATCATTTTGCTTTTTAATTAAAAACCTTACCACAGTAGACTTTTTCCTATCATGGTAAGATTTTTAAATTTATGATCCTATCTTTTTTGTTATGATAAGTCTTTTTATTATCATGGTAGTTTTTAGAAAAATATCTTTCACTTTCTACTATCATGGTAGATTTTTTCCATCATGATAGGATTTAAAAAAAATTAAGTTTTTTTTAATAATATTATTTTAAAATGAAATAAATTTGGTATATGAGTGAGGGACATTTCCAACAAGCTTTCCAAGATGCCAAGTTCATGTATGAATCCTTGTAAGAAGGCAACATATTAACGTATAAAATGGGAGGAGGAGGGAGAGGGTGAGACATGGGAGGACAGAGAGGACCAGAAGTTTGGAGGAGCAAAAATGATGAGCACCACTCTATCTAAAATAATACCATGGTGGGAGAATGCTCTAAATTTAATTTTTTAAAATTTAAAATGTATTAATTATAAGTATGAAGTTCAAATGGCTTCTAAACTTACAATCGAAGGTCCAAATTAACTATTACTCTAATATTAATTTACAACTAATTTTTCAAAATTTTACTTAAAACATTTTAGAATTTGACATGATTATTAAGAAGTAAAGGTCCTTTACCAGACTTTTAAATTTTGGGTCCCAAACTAAACTTAAATTAATATATTAGAGGGTATTGTTGTTTTTTTATATTTTTAATTCACTATTGAAATACCCTTTCCTCAAGTAAGATTCCATTAACTTACCAATAAATTTTGCATCTTCAAAATATATAAATAATACGTAATTAATTGGATTAATGGATTGCAATGATAAGAAAACTGAGGATGGGGAGAAAAGAAAAGAAATGATGCCAAAACAGAGGTCCAACAACGAGAAACCAAAAAGATTTATGAATAACCAACAAAGTAATTTTAGATAGGCTGAAAAGCACCTTGTGACGTCGTTATATTGACGGAAGGAGGAGAAAGTAGCGGTGCCAGTGTCGGTGGCGATACTGATACCGAAATGGGTGCATCAGCCGCAATTTCATAGAATCTGTGGCTCTCAAATCTGATATTGCAACTCGGTTTAACGACTCTACCTCCTGTGCTACCCTCACAACATTCTGGGATTCTTGAGATTGCCCCATCCAAGCAATTTTGACACTCCGATTCAATCAAATCAAATCAGCATGCACTGAGCAATACCGTATATCTTTCTCCTACTCGATCCTGCATCAGTATTCCCGGCTGCGAATTTTCGGCGAGAATCACCGGACGCTGCTTGCCGACTCAAACTCCCAAGTAAGCCGTTCAGAACTTGCTTGTACTGATTCCAATCTGTTATATTATCTGTGACGCTCCTATCATCGATAGTGAAACCAAGAGCTGGGACCAGACCGAATATTATGTAATTTGAGTAGAACAATAGGCATTCGTCATGGATTGTAATAGCGGTGGTGTATTTGTCACACGATTGTGTGATGGTTGTGGAATTTCTAAGGCAGGAACGACAAGTGGTGGGAGTAACATCTCCTCGGCAGAGACCAATTCCGTATACTGTGTTAGGGGATTGGCCGTAAGAGAGATTGTAGAAGCCATAGTCTACGTCAGGGTTTGAAGTTAGTTTTGATAGGAGGGTATTGAGGTTGAACTGGTAGGTGCTGTTCGGGGCGTAGGTTCCAAAGATTGAGGAAGTGAAGCAGTAATCTTCTGGGTAGCTTGATTGGTTGGTGCATCTGGAAATCAAAATGAAGGGGAAGAAAAAAACACCCTGTGACGTAGTTGTATTGACGGAACAAGGAGAAAGTGGTGGTACTGGTGCCGGTGTTGATACTGACACCGAAATTGGTACATCAGCCATGATTTCATAGAATTTGTGGCTCTCAAATCTGATATTGCAGCTCGGTTTAACAACTCTACCTCCAGTGCTACCCTCACAACATTCTGGGATTCTTGAGATCGCCCCATCCAAGCAATTTCGACACTCTAATTCATTCAAATCTGGCATGCACTGAGCAACACCATATATCTTTCTCCTACTCGATCCTGCATCAGTATTCCCGGCTGCAAATTTTCGACGAGAGTCACCGGATGCTGCTTGCCGACTCAGACTCCCAAGTAAGTTGTTTAGAACTTGCTTGTACTGATCCCAATCTGTTATATTATCTATGACGCTCCTATCGTCGATAGTGAAATCAAGAGTCGAGACGACACCAGATATTGTGTAATCTGAGTAGAACAATAGGCATTCATCGTGGATTGCAATTGCGGTGGTGTATTCATCACATGATTGTGTGATGGTTGTGGAATTTCTGAGGCAAGAACGGCAAGTGGTGGGAGTAACATCTCCTCGGCAGAGACCAATTCCGTGACTGTGTTAGGGGATTGGCCATAAGTGAGATTGTAGAAGCCATAGTCGACGTTATGGTTTGAAGTTAGTTTTGATAGAAGGGTATTGAGGTTGAATGGGTAGGTGCTGTTTGGGGCGTAGGTTCCAAAGGAAGTGAAGCAGTAATCTTTGGGTATTCTGATCGGCTGGTGCATATAGAAATGAGAATGAAGAAGAAGAAGAGAAGAAGAAGAGACAACGAATGGAAATGTGTCTGACAGAAGCATAGCCATTGGATGGGTGGCGCTTCTCTGAGTGATCTGTGTTGTGGGTACTAAGGAGACAATGTCTGAATGGAAGGTGGAGCTTCTCTTCAGTCAAGAGTCTTTAGTCAACGAGGACATAGTTTTTTTTCACCCCCTTACATCATGAGCTTCCTGTCCGTGCTTGGACTTTTTACCTCCGTGTCATTTGGTTCAGAAAATATTAGGACGGACCTCTTACACGAAATAGCTTCTCCGAACTAGGTGGAGGGACAAGACCACCGCTATTCTAAATTCATTGAATTGATTTACTGATTCAGATTTAGAATGGGTGGCCTTTAAAGGTATTTCTTATATTTATAAGCAGTTAAGCACTTTCAATTAAGACACTTAACTTATGAAATCTCCTCAATCCTAAATTATAACACATTTTTGAAAGAAATTTGGTATCTTAAAATATAAAACCTTAAGAAGATTAAAATTTTATTAAATAGACTTATTCTAATATCATCTTTTCTCCCTTTCTATTTAGTAATTTAGTATAGATTTAAAGTTATTAAATGAATAGCATTTTTAGAAGTTCATATTTTGTTTTAAAAAATAAGATTGTTAAGTGTATTTAATGATGTATCTTGGTATGTGAAATTTTTTTAAAAGTATTTTATAATTTAATACGGAGGGAGTATATTGTAAAATTAAAAATATTTTAACTTTATCCCTACTAAAAAAATATAGCTTTAAAAAATGAAAAGAATTTTTTTTTTTTTTGTGAATATGCTTCATTCTCTTTCATGGGAAACAAAGTTTTGGAAGAAGAGAGAGAGAAAAAAAATTCGAGAATTCATATAAAAATTAAATTAGAATGAAATTCTCCTTCAAGTAACTTGCAATAGGGTTAAAAAAGGAAAATGTTAATTAATAACTTTTATGTGACTTATATTGCGGAATATGAAATTCTTCTAAAAGGCACCCTAGAATTTGGTAAGAAAAACGATGTTAAAATATCAATAAAGTTCCAAATTTTAATTAAAATGCAAGTAACATGCTTGAAAAATTCAACTGGAGATGCACTTGAACTAGATTATTGAAACTTTTTGATAAAAATTGTTATAATCAGATAAACAAAACCCTTCCTACATATATTCGATTGTAGAAAGATTTGCCAAAGATATGGGGAAAAAAAAAAAATCCATATTTTGAATACATATATCCAGATCTGACATTTCTAGAAATGTGATGAACAATATCTCGTGGAGGATATAAATCAGTTATGGAGACTTCATTTGTTGATAGCATCTCAACATGTTTTCTTCTTGCTTTTCTAAGCTTGTTGAATCAAAATTAGAGTTGTATGAAAGTCCAGTTGTCCTATCCAACATAATCCAACTTAAATAAATTTAATCTTATTTGGTTTGGTAAAAAATTGGTTCAAAAGACCAAAGAGGCAAAAAACACCAAATTAATTCCTCATTAGACTAGACACAAGACCAAGTTCTCATACCACTTTGTCCGTTCCGATATTATGAAATTATTTTAATTTAATTTTAATTATTTTAATATATTTAAAATTTCAACATAGTGTTTTCTTCATTGACACTTCATATTTCTATTTAATATAATTTTAATTTAGTTTGTTGCTAAATCATTATTGCAATATAATTAGACATTTAAAGTATGTTGAATGTTACTGTTGTTGAAGTTATGAATTTGAATTATTTGATTGTAATTAAAATATTTTTTTTGTTGGATATTGTCATAGATTTTTTATGATTATAAGTATTTTTATTATCTTAATTGAATCCACACGTTGAAATAAATTATTGTCTTTCATAGAGGAAAGGAAGGGGAAAAAAGTTAAGTGAGTACTAGATTAATCACTCTCTCACTCCTACGGATCAAAATCTGGTTCTATTAATTTTTGAGTTACAACTAGATTAAACTGAATTAGAGATTGACTAATTTAGTTCTTTCCATGAAAGAAATCAGAATTTGGATTATGCCAAAGTTTAATCTTATTAGTTTTTTTTTTGCAATCCTAATCAAAACTATACTCCACATGTTGACATCTAGTGGGAAGCTTCTGTGATTACTAAAAAATGCAGGTTGCAGGGGAAATGGGAGACAGAAAGAGTTGCTGTTAATCATGAGAACAATGGAAGCCATGGTTGGTCTACAAGAAGCCTTTTCTTGGACACAAAGTAAGCCAACGTGAATGCATCTCATTGTTTCGTTTCTTGAACCATCTTTTAATGTGGAGTCTAGAATATCAAAGGCAGTGTCTCTCATCCAGCTTTTCCATGCCTGCATGAAGTTGCTTAATTAGTTCAAAGCTTTTCAATTATTCTTTAAGCATAAATATATAAATGTAATGACTGATTTTCTACACTCATAGTTCTGAGGAATCACAATAATGAGGTAGAAGGCGTACAAAACTTAGAAGATACTCCACATTCTCCTTGTGGTGAAAACTACCATTCTTTTGGCCACTTATTATCTCTAGAATCAATACACCATAACTAAAAACATCTGATTTTATTGAGAATTGCTTATATCTTGCATATTTTGGTGTCAGCACTGCATGTCATTGTCATCAGTATAATCATTATTACATCTCTTGATGATCATATTCAACACTTTCTTGTTTGTTATGGATAATAATTTATATATCCATGCCATATTTTGATACTTACCATGTTCCTACTATTCTATTTGCATTGACTTGAGTGTGATCTCAAACAAATAGTCATACCACACCAATTAGATATTTTAGGGTTCATCTATAGATCTAAGAGAATGTTATTTGCCTTGAAATTATGATGAATAATCCAATATTGAGATTCTCCATGAAGATAAAGAAGGTTTCGAGCGATGCCTTCTATTATTTTGAAGCAAGTTTCCCAATCTAATTGTGAACGTTTAGAAGGATCTACACAGTCAAGTTGAGATAAATTAGTTAAGAGTATAGTTAGCATAACAATTTACGCAAGTCGTGTATGAAATGTTTTGTTCAAGAAAATTGACTCACCAAATATGAAGTAGTCAAGACTTCTATTAGGAAGAAACTCATATATTAATAGCCGTTCATTTTGTTTTAAGCAAAAACCAACGAGTCTAACTAAATTTCCATGCTGAAGTTGGGCCATTAATAACACTTCATTTTTGAACTCAATATCTCCTTGCCCAGAATTCCTAGACAATCTTTTTACTGCAATGCCTTGTCCCTTGGAGAGGCTACCCTGAAGTTGGCCAACAACTAGGATGCATCAATATTCAACCTAGAGAACACATACATACAGCCCTCAACGTGAGTTTTATATCTCTCTTTACCTTGTAAACATGTCCAAATCCACCTTGTCCAAGCTTGTTTTCATTTGAGAAGTTATCAGTAGCAGCTTCGATGGTCTGAAATGCACATTGTATTGACTTAGCAAGTTCAGTGGCATTGTCAACTTCAGATTCGCCTAGAAATAGGAATTTAAGCTAGTTCTTCGAATCAAATTTAGTTCAGAATGTACCAAGATTAACTTTTGTATGAGAGAATAAATGAAATAGGGATAAAAAAGTGAGATTCAACTCTTTCTCTTCTTTCTATTTTCCCTTTCGTAACAGGATCCTAATAAATAGTGGATTTGAATTCCCAGATGTTCAGTAGGAAAAAATGGAAGACAAGTGTAAAAGAAAAGGCGAACCCCACCTCTGGAAGGTTCATAGTGACAAAAACTGAAATTTGCTATTGCAAATGAAATGGATGAGTAAGAGGGAGAAATTAGAACCTCAAGTAGGTCTCACTTTCCTCCTCTTTCTATCTCTTTTCAAAAGCTGAAAGAAATTTAATCATGCTTTGATTTACATCTAGATTGTGGACAATAAGAAAATAAATATGTAAACTTACTTTGAGTATGTCTTCTTCGGTTCATTCTTTCTCTTACAAAGACCCAAACGACATAGAGCAGCACAATAGAGGCAAGAATAGGCACAACTATAGCGACAACTGTTAGTAATGCCTTGTTCTTTCCGGAAAGGAAAAAGTTCCCAAAAGAAGATCTTCAAGAACATAAGTTTTGAAGCCTAATGTTATATCTGTGACTGTGACAAAAATGCACCCTTTCCTTTCATAAATGGAAGGGAAATTCCCAGCAGAAAGTTATCATTGGAGGTGGAGATGAAAATTACAAGGAAACAGAGAGATGAAAGCAGACTTAAAGAAGCAGAAATCTTTCTCCATCAAACTTATCGTCATCTTGTCAGGGGACCAAGTTTTCTCAGGGTAGGTTGACGGGTACATACCTTGTGAGTTTGACGATGGAAAAGAAGGTTTTGGCGAACCATCAGTTACGGGATCATAAAAGAAGTAGTGCGATACTAAATGGAGCAGAGAATCAGATTCCAACACCTCTGATATTGAATAATTTGAGTATCGTAGCGTACATTCACCATAGCTTCCCATTGCTTCCCTCTGATTTGGACACAACTTTGGAGAATAATTGAGGCATTCCTGAGGCAACTATGGCGTTCGTCTTGCGTAACCCCACCTCTGCACAGCCCAATCGCATTAACTCGATCAGGATTTTGGCCATGAGAGATATTGATGAAGCCATAGTTGTAGATTTTGGCGTCGGAAGTGAGGTGTGAGAGAAGGATATTAAGGTTTGCTTGGAAGGTGCTTGTACTTGTGTAGTGACCTTTGGAATCGAAACAGTGGCTACATCGGAAATCAGGAGGGCCAGCGATGAGGAAGGGAAGATGAGAAAGGAGAGGAAGGAGGGTAAAAGAAATGGTAGAAATTTCCATATACAGTGGGTGAAAAAATAAGCTTTCATAA